TCCCGTCCAGCCTAAAAGTCTTCAAAGTTCACCAACCCAAAGAACCACTAAAGTTAGCGACGACTAGTGTGAGTCTTGCCACTTGCCGCCAACCTGACCAGAGCCTCGGCCGCCGCTGCAACCTTAATCGTTCTCCGGCTAGCCTGAGAAGCCCGTAAATCCACGTCATCACTTCTCCCACAAACCGTAGACCCTGGACCCATCACAATCATTCCCTTCCACAAACTTCTCTTGCTCACTTTTTTCATGAACCCATTATAACTCTTGTTATCATTTGTTCTACTACTATTAGTACGGTTTTCATAGCCAATTCTCTTCTGCAACAAATTATGATTATCAAAACCATAATCAAGATTACGATTATGATGATGGTGGCCACTGTGCTTGAAAACACTGCTTGAACTCACGGAGAGATTAGAGTCATCAATATTAAGCCTCTTGGAGATGTTCTTGATCTCGTAAGTGTCAAGAAGACGAGAGTACTGCGTTTCTTGATCCCCACGAAAAGGGTAATTCGTGTACCAAAGCGAAGACTTAGAAACCCTATTCTCCGCTAAAACCTTGTTCTCAGAGAGGATCATGTTCTTGGTGGCTTCGATCTTGTAACGTGAAGGTCGAGGTGTTTTTGGTGCTCTTGTTAGATCAAATTCTCTCATGATCGGTTTGCCTTCTTTCCTTTGGTACCAAGCCCACGCAGCCGCCTTCACCACCGCCAAATCATCTCCTCCTCCTCGGCCGCCGTAAATAGTCATCGGAGGTTTCTTCTTCCTCTTCTTATTGCCGTTGACGTTGTTGTTAATATTGCTTTCGGACATGGATGGTGAAGATATGTAGTAGTTGGAAAATGGGAGCATTGTGTTTATTATGGTTTTTTTTGTGGAACTAGAGTGTGCGAAATTTTGGAGATAAACGTTAGTAGTTTGCAAAGGGAAAGGGTATGAAAAATAATTGATGAATATATCTCATTTTTGTATAGAGAATAATAAATAAAAATTAGAAAAAGTAGGTGTATTGGTCTTGCTTTAGGGTCCACCAATAGATCCGGCGATCTAAATTATTCCAGAGGGAAAATGTTAAAATTTTATTCGTGTTAGTTGGAATTGGATGTACGTAGTGCATATCCTACATATCGCCAGCGGTCCTTCTATACGTATATTTATTTCGTCAATTAATATCTCAATAAAAGCATCAAACTTTAAGTCCTTGTTATGGACTATGAAAATAGAATCTTTTCAACATGGATTAAAATTGGGAAAGTTTGTTATTAG